TGTATTTGATTGCATGGCTCTGTAAAAACTATTTATGAACGCGTTTTTTCAGTTTGCGATGGGCAAGTCTTCGCCATCAGCTCTGCGTGAGACCGTTGTCGAAACTCCCAACATTACTTGGGACGATATTGGAGGTTTGTCGTAGAGTCCTTGACCTCGAACCATTCTTGTCACCATTAAACTTGAAAAGATGGTCGCTGTAGTAGGTGCGATTATATAGACCGTGATCCAACCCTGGTTCCCCTTGAATTGTCCCTTTATGAGAGGGATATCGGCTTTTTGAGCTGTGCCGAGCATCGCTTCATCACTAAGTTCCACTTAATGCTGCCCTGTTCCTATCTCTTTTCTCATTCGTCCTAATCATCCTTGTCAATCGTTGTGTAGGAGTTGCTCGCACTGATGTGTGTAGCTGCGCTATATTTTGCTCCTGCAAGCGATATATTTCCCCTGTTATTAGATCTTATCAAGGCTGTCATGCAGTAAACCAAGTAGTAACGCCCCCTTAGGTGAGGCTTTCGTTTTATGTCCTGTCAAAAAAAACTGGCCTGACACAATGTTAGCAACGCGTTTTCGGTGGGTCCTTACTCATCCGGGTTCGGAGCAGAAACTGGGTCGTAAGACAACAGGTTATCAGGACCCTCCCGTCCCAGATGAGGAGCTGACCTTGGGCACGTCCTTTCGTTAGGGAAAAAAACTATCTGCAACCTTCCAAAGTTCCCAGATTTCTACCTCTTTAGAAAGTTTTCCTGTCTTTGCTCGGAAACTGCCGCTGCCGTGAGCGAAAAAAAGGGTGGTAGGATTATACAGCGCACTTGAGACGGGAGAAACCGAGAAGACCCGTCCCCCCCCCCCCCCCCGCCCAAAAAAATACAGTCCACCTCTCATTCCCGCGACCAAATACGCCCATCCCACCCTCGCTGTTAATCCTAACGTGCGGCGTGCCGTGTCCTGAATATGTCCATATGTACAACCAGAGATGTTCCTGAGACTAGAGGTCGCTTATTAGGTGACTGCATTTAGAGAGAAAAGTCTTCAATATTACATCTTATTTAGGCCTTCAAAATGTCAAGCGTGAGCTCCAAGAGTTGGTCCAGTACCCAGTTGAGCATCCAGAAAAGTATCTCAAGTTCGGAATGCAACCTTCGCGAGGTGTACTGTTTTACGGACCTCCTGGTTGTGGTAAGACATTGCTGGCAAAGGCCATCGCCCACGAATGCCAAGCTAACTTCATCTCCATCAAGGTTACTAATTTGTTTCGTTGTTCATTGCGTTACTATTTGGAGGGCCCTGCTATTAAATTCAAAATCTGTTAGGGACCGGAACTTTTGACGATGTGGTTTGGAGAGTCAGAGGCTAATGTTCCGCGACGTATTCGACAAAGCTCGAGCTGCTGCTCCTTGTGTGCTGTTCTTCGACGAGTTGGATTCCATTGCAAAAGCTCGTGGAGGTAAAATGTTTTGATGAATTTCGACAGATTTCACGTTCGAGCGTTGTCACTTCAACCTGTTGCTGAAATGTTGCTTGGCTTGAATGTTAGCGCTAAGACTGCCTTCATACTTCGCCACTCGGGCCATTCGGATCGGCCACGTTTCATCGCTTATCTTTAGACCGAGTCGATGTCCAGTTTAACACTAGTCAGGAGAAAACTTATTTCGAACTTTGCAGCGGTCCAGTGATTAGCGGTAAAGCGCGGTCAGTTGCATTTGCGCGGATGAATCGCTCACGTCGCGAAGTGTGAACGCGGTCTAAAAAGAACTTTGTTTTTCTATTGTCTCTCATATTAGTACCGGTAACATCAACAAGTACTCAGATATACGAGGTAGAATGGGTTTAGTCTGATCGCGTAGACTCCCTGAGCTGACTTAGCTTGTTGTCAGCTTGTAGCTAAAGCGCTGGGAACACTCGTGATTCACGTTCGGCGCGGCTCCTTGGATGTCCTGGGCTTTATCCCCTTAGTTTTGCGCACAATTTAAGAACTTAGCTGTGTTGTTTCTGATCGTGCTTAATCAGTCAACGTTCTGTTGTTTGATGATGCTCGATTAGGAATCATAACTTGCTGAGTGTCATACTTGTGCAATAGTATAATGTGTAAATTCACCAAAACGTCATGTTCCTTGTGGAGTGCTAGTCCATCTTTTGTAAGGGACATGACTGCGTGATTTGCACGACAGAAACTGTGTTCTCGTGAGAAAAATCTGCCTTGGCGTGCATGCCATTTGTTCGGTTTTAGTGCTTGTAAACTTGCAATTCGTGAATTAAACGAGATGAAATTTGCATTTATAACTCGCCCTTTGCTTGGGTAGATAAGATTCGAACATTTTAGGAACTGCTGGTGATGCTGGTGGAGCCGCTGATCGTGTAATCAATCAAATTCTTACTGAAATGGACGGAATGAATTCGAAGAAGAACGTTTTCATTATTGGAGCAACGAACAGGTGATTTGCTTGAAATGATTTCTTTTTCGGTGTACAAAATAGATTTTAAGACCTGATATCATTGACTCGGCAATTCTTCGTCCTGGACGTCTCGACCAACTGATCTACATCCCACTTCCAGATGAGGCTTCTCGTCTTCAAATTTTCAAGGTACGAGTGACATTGTTTAGTGGGTATGTGACAAGACAATCGTAATGCGCCGCCAAGTCGGCGTCGTTTGCGACGTCGCGCCTGCAAATTTTGATGTTCTCAAATCTTAGAGGACGTTAAGAGATAGTACATGATTGAAAAAAATATCCAAAAAGCTACGATCCCGCAGTTTACGTGCTATCCGGTGTTCCCAATCGACAGACTAGTGCGATTTGATAAAACGCCACGGCCATCGCGCGCGACGGGACAGCAGATTACGATTGTCTTGACCCACTCACCTTTTACTTTGCGGATATAAGAACTGTTTTTTAGGCTAATCTTCGTAAAACCCCTGTGGCCAAAGATGTTGATATGACATTCCTATCGAAGAGTACTGTGGGATTCTCTGGCGCTGATCTTACTGAGATTTGCCAGCGGTAAGTTAGTCTCATTGTTTCGCATAGTTCTGGGTGTAGACCTGGACCTGCGAAGCGCAGCGTCGCGTGCAAAGCACTTTTCCTAGCATGTTGACTCAATACAGTACCTTGGCGTTAAATCGATTATGTCTGGATAGCCTACGTCCTGTACCTTTTATTTTACAGCGGTACTTAAAAAACTCAATTATCCTTGGGAGCTTTCTGTATTTAATTTCTCAAGAGCACCTTCATACTTCGCGGCCTGTTCGCTTTTATCGCACGATCGAAGTGTGACCGCGCTCTGAGGATCACCATCACGATTGATTCCCACCAGTTTTAAATTTGACTGATGTCCGTGATTTAGTGATCCTCCAAGCCTGAAAGTAAAGCTATCTTGTAATGAGCTGTCGAATTTTCGGCGTGAGGCCGTGAAACTCGATTTGACGCCAAAGTGCCGGAAACCCTTGGTGCTTCGCGCGCGACGTCGCGCCTCGGATGTCTTGACCTTTACGCCCTAGTTTTGTGCACAATTTAAGAACTTAGCTGTGTTGTTTCTGATCGTGCTTGATCAATCAACGTTCTGTTGTTTGATGATGCTCGATTAGGAATCATAACTTGCTGAGTGTCATACTTGTGCAATAGTATAATGTGTAAATTCACCAAAACTTCATGTTTCTTGTGGAATGCTGGTCCACTCTTTGTAGGGAACTTGATGGTGTGATTTGCACGACAGAAACTTATATTTCCTTAAGAAAATTCTACCATAGCTTACATACCATGAATTCCGTTTTAGTGCCTGTAAACTGGCAATTCGTGAATCAATTGAGAAGGAAATCCGTATTGAAAAGGACAGACAGGAGCGTAGACAACGTGGAGAAGAGCTCATGGATGATGAAATTTACGATCCAGTCCCTGAAATTACTCGTCTGCACTTCGAAGAGGCCATGAAATTCGCCAGGCGATCCGTTTCGGACAACGACATTAGAAAGTGAGTGTTCTTGGACCAGTCATTTATATACGGCTGCGTTCAGACTGCGCGGTTAGGAGCGTCGACGCGCTATAACGCGAGTCGATACGCCTCAGCGCGAAATCTGAACGCTGCCTTTCTCTTCTCTTTTGAGAGTGTGGTCGAGTTTGTAGAAACTTCGCATCTCATTCTCTGCAGAGACAGTTATTGGCGAACTTAATTGCTTTCTTTACAGATACGAGATGTTTGCGCAGACCCTACAGCAACAGCGAGGATTTGGCAACAATTTCAAGTTCCCTGGTGAGCAGCCAGCTCCGAATCAACCAGATCGGTTCCCGTTGGAGGCAATGATGACGATGACCTCTATAGCTAAATTCTTTTGTAATCAATGTCAGTACACAGCATATAACTTATTTATTTTCATTTCTCGCGAAACAAATAAATACAGATAACGGAAAAACCATACAAAAAAAGAACGGATAGAACTAACAATCGATACGGGTGTGTGACCGTTGCTTGCCTTGAGGTTGGTGCAGCCTTAGCACTCTCCTGCCAATTACTACTAAAGTACTTCGTATATTGCAACAAGGTTTATCTCTCTCTCTCCCTGTTGCTTGATCAGTAATTGTTCCCCTACGTTAGATGTCGAGGTATCACCCACGGGCGTTCTTGGTGATGCTGATCATTGCATGTATTGTAAATTGAAGTGTGCAGTTTTCGTTCAATTAATTGGTGATTTCTGCTAGTTGTTTTGTGCACATCTAGAAACTTGATACATGCCATTCTGGCCAAATGTTTTGTTGGAGAAGAGTTAAAGAACATTTACATAAGTAATTGGGCATTCTGACCCAGGCCCATTCGTTGGAACAAAAGATAGTTAATGTGAGTAGGTGAAGCAGAAGAGCCTGCGGCAATACGTTCCGCAGCACTGAGAAGGTCCAGCGGAAAGTGCTCCGTAGGTCTCGGGTTTTTGAACGAAGGCCATCAGATCATTTAGTAAGTGAGATAGTAATCAAGAAAGGAAAAAAAATCAAACAGTCAGCGCTCCAAAATCACTTCAAAATCGTAATTACAGCCACTCTAGCAGGCTGGGGTCTCAAACGTGGTAAAGACCCTTAAGGGTCACCGGGAAGAAATTCGCGCTGGATTTTGTTTCGAAGGAAGAGGGGGACTCTGAACTACTTTGGGACTCTTAGCCTACCAATTTGCATTGTTTTTTGTTGAAGTGGCAGAATTTCCGCAAAGCAGGCGCGGCTTTTGGTGCTGGGCGGGCTAAAAGAGCATTTCAAAAGCGGTTCAGGAGGATGAAAACTGAAAAAGGGTCGAAATTAAAAAAAATGCAAAAGGGGCGTGATTCAACGGATGGGTTTGATGTCTCAGCGCATAATTGCGTGTTTATGAATTCTTTTTCGAAAATGTAAAAATTCGAAATTTGTTCCAAAATTCTTTAGAAGTTGGCGGAGCCATCTGAATGAGGGTATCAGTGTTTTTTCAGTTCATATGTTCTGCGAAACAGCAAAAAAGCAAAGAACTCAGAGAAGCAGAAGTTATAAAATAGAATTTGAGAAATCAACTGCGCCGAAAGTAGGCGTGGCTGTAAGGCGGGGCCTGCGGTTTTACCCACTGTGAAAAGGCTAACTAACTGTCCGGGGTAAAAAGTGTGGTGAGTTTGATTTGAAAATGGTAGATCTGTCTTGAAAATGGTGATTTTGGTTCGAGAAGTGGTGTACTTGGTTTGGAAAAAAAGCGAATTTGAAAAAAAGTGGTGTAAATTGCAAGCGAATCGCTCTAAGTGAGGAAAAAAATGCATCTGTTCGTTATTCAGACTGCCTAAGGACAGAACAAGCGGTTGTTAGCTATTTATGAAAGGAGGCTAGCAAAGTATCCCTTTATTCTGAATTGAGAAAGGATTTGCCCAGTGTGACCCGTAACAGCCTGGTGTCTAGTGCACACCTGGAGTACAGTAATGCCCACGTACCAGGCTCATGGTTCTGATGGGGTCTTCGACCTCACTGGAAAAATGGCATCAACCGAGCAAATCGATTGAAATTCGGGTCCATTTGGGTGCGAAACCCTGGGCCGCGGGTACATCGGTCCTAATGGGGAACCTATTTTGGTGTCGCACCCAAATGGACTTTAAAATGCTCCGTATCCTAGGCCGGTATAAGGTAATCAAATTGCTATCAGGATTGATAACAGCTTTGTGATTGTAGGTAACATGGCAATGACCATTAGTAGTCCAGCCAGGCGAGCAAAAAAAAGTGTCGCCAACATGGATAGATTAACGGATGTGTCGCCTGCTGGTCGCGGCAGCGCAAGCCACGGATCCCAGCTTTGCTACCCTGACCCTTCATTACTCACTGCGAGCCTAGCACCTTGTCGTTTCATATAGAGCTCGTCACATCTTTGTTGTTTCCACGGCACTCACTTGAAAATTGCCAACAATTCACTTGTAGGCATCGTTACTAGTTGAAGCAAACTTCCTTTCGTAGCCGGTCTCACATTTCTACATGTCAACATCAGTTAGATTGTAGTGGCTTAAATGCCACCGCAACTTGTTCCACCCAACTGTCTCTTTCTAAGGACTGCTATTAGGAAATATCACCACGTACGCTCATGCGCGCAGGGGGAGCGGAAAATAAGCTCAGGAGTGAGGCCAGAAAAGGAGAGCAGTGCTACCTCTGCTTTCCAGGGGCTGTCTAGGCCAATACCGAGGGGTGCTGCTCCCAGCAGTCAGTTTTATGCGCAGCTCGGAGTACTGTATCCCTGTTTTCCTGAACTTATAATTTGGTCGACTTCCTGCCTAGGTGCGCTTGGCCTGAACATCTTAAAGGTCTAGTCGAAGCGGAAGAAGTGCAGTACGAGTGTCACGCTCACTGAGCGCCAGGTCCGGTAAGATCCGAATCGGCTCTGGCCAACAAATCGTCTGCGGGGTAAATCAGTAAGCCACTGCGATCCTGAATGGAATTAAAATGCGTGCTGCATCTCCATCTAGGGATTGATCTTTGATCGAGAGAAATGTTTTTTTTTAATTTCAGAGCCGCAATCAACGCTGCTCGTACAGGCCGTGGCAGATGTATCGGTGTGTATTCCTCATTGGCACATCGTCTCCTTCGTAGAAATTCGATGGATAAAGGATGAAGTCTTCGCCCTTGATCAATCCCTTAAAGGCAGTTGGCACGATAAATCCCCCAAGACGAGTAGGATTAATACGCCTGGCAGGACGGAATTCCGCGACCCTGAGCAGGCGCTGCATAATGCCTTTTCCAAGGAAGGTGCCCTTATAAGGGCCCTATCAAGCCACAACATTCCGACCCAAACGCCCGCCACGCCCCCGCCCACAAATGGACGACCGTTCCTGACGCTCTAATCGATTCATTTGCTAAGCAAATTATGAAGCGAAGGGATTGGTATGAAGCGGCCGTGATGCTGCATGGATATATGAGTACACATATGCAGCCGTACCTTCGGTAGCGGTTATTGGCAAGATGCCTATGGGAAACTCGTCCAAAATT